CACTGACCACAACTCTCTGTGTGTAACTGTCCAGCCAGTGCTTTATCTACCAAGTGGTCCACCCATCAAATCCATGTTTCTCCAATTTAGAGACAAAGACCTCATGCAGGACAGTGTCAAACACTTTGCATAAGTCTAGGCAGATGATCTTAGTTATTCTGCCCCTACCCACAAATTCTGTGACCTCATCATAGAAGGCCACCAAATTTGTCAGGCATGACTTGCCCCTGGTAAAGCCATATTGGTTATTAGCAATCACTTGTCTGCTTTTCATGTGCCTAAGCATAGCTTCCAGGAGAATCCGCTCCATGATCTTGCCAGGTACAGAGGTGAGACTGTCTGGTTGATAGTTTCCTGGTTCTTCTGTTTTCCCCTTTTTAAAAATGGGGGTTATATTTCCCTTTTTCCAGTCATTGGGGACTTCACTTGACTGCCACAATTTCTCAAAAATTATAGACAGTGGCTTAGCAGTTAAATGCCTAATTTATTGTGGTCACTTTAATCAGCAGCATGTTACAACTTTTTCAAGGCTACACAAAAATGAATGTAACATGAATTTTTAGGGACTTATTCAGGATACAAGTTTTAAAGTCAGTGTGCAATAACAGCTGTCATCTAGATAATCAACTGGTGCACTTCACACTGATGACAGATCACAGCTCAACATCTAAGCTAAGACAGTCCAGTTCTTTCACCTATCTACACAGAATGCCAAAAGAAAATGTGGTTTTCAAGTTTGGAGTGCTCAGTCTTTGACCTGTCCTTAGATATTATATGTAGCAATTTGCTCTACTGCAACGGAGTAATTTCACGTGCACAGTTAAGGTCAAAGCAACTGCACTCTGGAAACCCATAATGGGAACTTGAATTTACATATAGATCCCCGAAGGTTATTGGAAGATTAAGCTGACCAGTCACTAGGGTCAGGGTTAGTTGGTCACACAGCCACAAACACTGCTACTCAAATAAGCCATCTGAATATGCAGAATATCCTAAAATATCAAGACACAGTCCAGTCCTCTGTATGTCTATAAAGCAAACTGAAATTACTCAGATATCTCAAAAGGGGCATGAGACTTCACTTGTCTATGGAAGCTGAAACACTAAGCTCTACTGTCTAACTCAAATTTACAAAAAGCTTAGCAAACACAAAGACATCCATACCTGGGTGTTATATGAGTACCTAGATCCCAGCTCTACAATCAAAATCTGAGTGTGGAACACATGTAGAAGTGTTTTCAGACAAAGGCATGATGCAATTGAAATGCAGTAGCCTAGTGCATGTTACACAAATGTTAACTGACCGTGCTACCTCACATACACCACATTTCAGCTTCAAAACTACCCAGCTCTTGCTTTCAAGGCAACAAAGAGAACATCAGCTATTAAATCAGATGCCAGCTTCAATGTATAAATCAGTCTGTAATCCTAAATGGACACACTAATGTTGCTTAAAGCTGGGAATTCAGCTGCAAAACAGCCTCTTGTTATTTAACAAGTCACAGTAATACCTGCTGCTAGTTTTGAAAACAAGAAATTAAAATATACAGCAATTAATAATTTATTTCATCTTCAGTTGAAGAAGGAAGTTCAGCGTTTTCAGAGAAAATAAATACTCCTGTCAAGCAATACTGACTATATCATGTGACATTCTGGTGACCAGCTGAGGTATATTTACAAAACTGATGCAAGCATTCTTGTAATTTTTAACATTACTGACCAACAGGGATGTTTTGACTGAAGGTTTCCAGTATCTCTTTCCAAACCAACTTCTACAACTGTCTTGAAGTAAATCTAGATGTCTTTTTCAAGAGCACTAAAAAAAGTCACTCTACTTCTAGAAATACAAGCATTAAAAAGTCATAAAATATATCAGAAATTATTTCATCAAAAAAACTGACATGCTCGTGCAAAAAATAGATTTCTAAAACTGAGCCGGAAACTATCCGGTTTTATGAACTACAGTATCTACTGCCTAATATTTGAATTATATTACAGTTATTATAAGCATAGACAACTGCATGCTAGAAGATGATGCACTGATTCTAGTGGAAGGAGTCTAACAGAGATGTAGCTACTTTCACTAAAGTAAAAGGTAGAGCCAAAATAGGTAATGATACATATAGCCATATAAATCCAAAAGAAGTATAACCCACAGCTGGTACCCATCACTGTTTACCTTACTGGAAACCTTAAATTCATTCAATAAATATCAAGAAACAATGTATATAGGGTCATACTGTTTTGAAGAAGATACTGAGAGGATTCATTCTTCCAAAGAAGAATGACTAGCTTTTTCCAACTTCAGGCTCAGGGATTCTCAGTAGCAAGAATGTAGTTTTTGCAGCAAGTCTTTGTTGCATTGGGAACATAAGGCTTTCTCTTGATAGAACAAAAAACGTCTTAGCATGTAACAGAGCACGGGTAGCAGACAAAAACTATTTCAGACTAGGAATGTTCAGTAGATGTGCACTGCCCTCTGCCGTACTCCCTAAAATCTTCCACTAAACCACTGTGCTGTTACATTTTAACACAGACAAGAATCAAAACACTAAGCTATTACTGCTCTCACCATGCAAGCAGAGCCTGCTATGAAAGATCTATACCTATCATCATAAATAAGTGACAGAGACCTCTCAAGACAGATTTTTAAATGAACATTTGTACATTTTCAAGCAGATAATGAAAAATAAACTTGCTTTAGTTTTTCTCGCACGAGCTTGGAACAAGACCTTTTACCCTAACCAAGGCCCAGTGGTTACTTTTCTTCTCTTTCAGACAGAGTATGCTGGTTCAAAGCAATATATGCTCCAGGCTTACCTGTAAACCTAACAAGCCATTCATGTGGATGTGCCTATTTTTCCAAATAACACTTTTTGCTTAGATGTTGCTATTCAATAAATGATTCACTCTATAATAAACACTTAACCACAACTCTTAACCCTCCATCACCACGCAATGAAAGTATCCAGCATCAGAACTCCTAGGGAAGCTATAGTAAGCAAGTAAGTAAGCATAAGCCAAACACAAAGGCTTAAAAATATTTTCCCATATAAGAAATATGATTTGTCACAACTTTGTATAAAATTCATGCAGCTACACACGAACCCATTTTCAATGAAAACACTTAAATTCCCTTCCATCCTAAAGCATTGCCTCTAAGAGTTGAAGTAGTAAACTACTTGTCAAATCCTTTACTTCCTCTAGTTAAGAAATTCTTAATTTATTTAAAATCACTAGCATTATTCCCTCTATCCAATCTGTTATTATCCATACAGATGGCAACAAAAATAACATGTAAAAAGTTTGAGAAAAAAATGCACATTTGTCATTTTGTACTTTCCAGATACATGGGTTTTGCTGCAAAGTAAAGGATGTAGTTGATAAAATGGTAACTTCTGCTACTTCTCTCTCCCAGCTATAAATATGCAATGAGAGTCAAGACACTGAAAAGTCGATTTCCACCTTGGATTTTAGAGAAGGCTTAATGAAAAATAAAATAACCTAAAGTTGAGCTGAATAGTCCACCCAGCTCAGTTAGGCTGACAATGAAACAATTTCTTAGAAAAACATACAGACCTGGAAAGCTCATAGAACCACTTGCTTTGAAACAATCATCATTTTTTTCAGCTTTGGACCAAGAGTTCCCAAAAAATGTAGCTATGATTTTAGTCAAGTTTAAGATAATAGTGAAATGTTTCTTGGTCTTAGTCAAAGGCAGTCAAATTTCACTATACACTACATCCATACTATTTTCAACAAAGGTAGCACTATTCAAGAAAATTTTTGTATTAAACAAAGAAAAAAACATAGAGGTCCAGCTTTCAGTGTAAAAAATAGCGACAGAAGAATACAGGACAGTAAACCAAGCCAAGAAAAAATATACAAAAATCACAATATTCATACACATCTGTGTTGAAGTTAAGTTAGACTTCTACTACCAATTGATGCATAAATAACTCTTAAAATGACATCAAAATCAAGTACCAAAAACACAGCATATCTTTCCTATTGATGTGTTTAGAGAGCAATTAATCTACTTGTTTTTTTCTTCTTCCACTTCACACTACTAATTGTTTAAATGTAAACTTTGATTCATTGGCTCAAATACTGTCTCAAATGAGACAATAAAACTTAGATTTTAAAATATATTCCAATTCACAATACTCTGTGTTATAATCACACGGAAAATGGAGCAAAAAAGTACCAATGCATTAGAAACTAAACAACTGTTGCTACAAAATTATATGGCAAAATAAGAATTACCTGTTTTTGTTAACAACAGATTATCCAGATGTCTATCTCCAACTCCAAGGATGTAAGTAATCACACAATAACCAGCTGTAACAAGTAAATTGCAAACATCAATATTAGGACCTTTCCTGGAGAGCAACAAGTTCCATACAATTAACAACATATATCACCTTATCTTAGCTCTTGTTCACTAGTAATAAATGCAGTGTAGAGGCTAGGGGGCATGGGTGGTGCTGGTGAGGAATAATCAAGATTATGAGCACTATGATGAACATCTGAAGTAATAAAACCCTGAAGTTTATTCAGTACTATCTAGGTTTAATTTCTTACTGCACAATCATGTCTAACACTAAAAGACTAAATTCATTCAATATTGGGATTAAGATATTTCAAATGAAGCTTAAGTACTTTGAGCAAAATGAATGTATGTACTTTGAACTGAAGATATTTTAAGGCCACTGTAAACAAGTGTTAGACATTGACATGAATCTGGTTGTATACTTTAGTGATATTTACAAGCTCAGCAGTAAGACTGGCAGTGATAAAGAGAAAACTGTTTGCATTCTTACTTTCACCCACCAGCCAGAACAGTTTGAAGCAATTCTAAGGACTGCACCGTCAGAAAGTGAAGGAGAAAAGAGAACTGTGGAGCGATAACTGAACCATCTTCTTTTTTTGTAGAATGAAGCTGCTTTTAATTTAATGGACAGCAAATGCACTATTTTAATATGGTCATCGATTTACTGAACTACACTACCACTTTTACTTGTCATCCAAATAGAACCAGAAATTGAATGTTGCCACACCCCCAAAACCTGATGTTTTCAAAACTAATTAAAATTTTAATACAAATTACTTATCCTTATATAAACTCACAAAGCAGAGGGGGCACACGT